TTTTCAACTGGCTATTATCCATACTCGGTAACTGTTGGTGATGTCAACAATGATAACCTACTGGATATTGTTGTCGCCAATTCAGTTAGCAATAATACGAGTGTCATTCTTGGATTTGGAAATGGTTCGTTTGCAGATCAAATGACATATTCAACTGGTGCTATTCCACAGTCTGTAGCTGTTGGTGATTTTAACAAGGATAACCTACTGGATATTGTTGTCGCCAACAATCAAAGCAATAGTTTAAGTGTTCTTTTTGGATATGGCAATGGTTCATTTGCAGATCAAATAATATATCCAACTAGCAGAAATCCAGACTCTGTAGCTGTTGCTGATATCAACAACGACAGTCGATTAGATATTGTTGTGGTGAACTTTTGGTTCAATGAGGTCAATATACTTCTTGGCTATGACAATGGTTCATTTGCAGATCAAATGATATTTTCAACTGGTGAATCGCCATACGCTGTAGCTGTTGGTGATTTCAACAATGACAATCAATTGGATCTTGTTGTAGTTAATAACGATAACAATAACTTAGGTATTTTTCTTGGATATGGCAATGGATCATTTGCAGATCAGATAACGTTTTCAACTGGCAGTTTACCATACTTGGTAGTTGTTGGTGATTTCAACAATGACAATCGATTGGATATTGCTGTTGTCAATTTTGGTAGCAATAGTGCCAGTGTACTACTTCAATATAATCGAGGAGCCTTAACCAAACACATGACTTACGCATCTGGTGGTGCTTCCAGTTTACGATATGTTGCTATTAGTGATCTAAACAACGACACTCAACTCGATATTATTGCAGCTAATTATGGTACGAACGATATTGGTGTTCTTCTTGGAAGTGGGAATGGTAATTTTCTAAGCGAAAAAATGCTCATTAGTGGCTCAAATTCTCATCCATCAGCTATTGCCATTGCTGATTATAATGGTGACATGCTGTTGGATATTGCTGTGCTTAATTATGGTACTAAAGATATAGATCTACTGGCTGGAAATCCAAAAGGCACATTTACAACTCAAGCAAGTAATGGATTTCATTTTGTTTCATCTCCATTTCTTATCGCTTCTGGTGATTTTAATAATGATGGACGGTCAGAAATTGCTGTCGCATGTGACGATACTGATAATGTGAATGTCTTTTTTACGTATGAAACTGGATCTTTTACAGACCCAATATTCTATTTAACTGGTAGTTCTCCTTGGTCTGGAGCAGTCGATGACTTCAACAATGACAACCGACTGGATATTGTTGTCGTCAGCGGCGATAACAATAATATTAGTGTCCTTCTTGGATTTAATAATGGTTCATTTGCAAATCAAATGACATATTCGACTGGTATCTATCCAGTCTCTCTAGCTGTTGGTGATTTTAACAACGATAACAGATTAGATATTGTTGTCGTCAATCGTGATAGTAATAATCTTAGTGTCCTTCTTGGATATTATAATGGTTCATTTGCAGAGCAAATAACATATTCAACTGGCACCTGGCCATTATCTGTAGCTGTTGGTGATTTTAACAAAGATAACCAATCGGATATTGTTGTCGCCAATTTTAAAAGCAATAATATCAGCGTCTTTCTTGGATATGGCAATGGTTTATTTGCAGATCAAATCACGTTTTCAACTGGCTATTATCCATACTCGGTAACTGTTGGTGATGTCAA